CCATTATTAGTTCCTGATTGAAATGAAGAATTAGGAGGCATTCTCTTATAAAATGTCCAAATAAATGGTGTTCGTTGAAGTAAAATATTATCAGTCTTTAAATTTTTTTCTTCTCCAGGAATATCACTTGATTATGTTCGTCTACGTAACATTCAATCCTTATATTCGGTATAAATGACACAGCGCTCAATCCGTGTAAAGAAAAAAAGTAGGGGGGAGAGAATGAATGAAGCAAGAAAGAATTTTTTTATGTTTTGGTCCATTTCTTGTTCAACAAAAAATTTCCTTTAAAAGGAAGATATTTCATGTTTTGGTTAAATCTTTGAACATATTTCTATATGAGTGCCATCACCTGAGTCAGAAACCTGACATATTAAACTACATTTAAGTCACAAGAGAAACATCAAGATTGCTTTATTTTCCATATTGTTAGTTAACCTCATTGGAATTATAAATGAGTAACAAATTATGGAAGAAAACCAAAATCTAACAGTTATATGTAACTAGTCTATAGAAAGGGAGGTATTCAACATATGCAATACACATCTGCATTATACACATACTCATTAGGTGACTGGAGAATTGATACTGGAAAGAACAGAGAGTAAAAATCAGACTTTATCCAAGGATGCAATTTTGCTTTTTAAATGCATTATGAATGTAATCCATTTGAAAAAGCTTCCAGCTCTATGGACGAGTAATGTGCTCAAGTATTAGAATAGGTCTTATTATTTGCCTCTCAGGTATGGTGCATACACAGACTTTAGTTAAAAGCTCCCTAAGCACAGATAAATACATTATTGTATGCTTATTATACTTTAGAAACACAAGATAAGAATATACCAATGTGTGAAGTAATCCTAACATCCACACATTTCTATATCTATCAACCTGCTAAACACTGAACTACCTGACATCTAACCCTTAATTGTTCTTGGTAATCAGCCGGGTTGCCTGCTAAGTCTTCAGGACAGTCCTCCAGGGTGAGTGTGATAGAAGTACAGTTTGTCCACTGCTTCATGCAGGCTGTATTCCAAACTAATATCTTAGCTAAGTTAGCTTGCAAATTATTGGGATGGTAATTAAAATCTATAATCAGTTGTAGTTACCTTTTCCTCTACAAAGTAATAGTGAATAAATAAAATGAACAAAGGCAAATATCAGAACATCCTGAAAATATGCTATCAAACTTAAATAGGTTTACAGGTGCCATTAGGTGACAGAATGTGAGCGGAAAACTTGCCTTTGATTCTCACCTAGGGGTTACCTGCTAACTTGAATGTATTTATCACTCATGAGTACAATGGTTTAAAAAAAAAAAAGAGGCTGCAATTAAGCTGTACGAATCTATCCCTGGTAATAAGTATTTAATTACTCTGGCCAAACTTTAGGTAAAGTACTGCTAATGTCAGAAATATCCTTGCAGCCCATTAATGGTAATTTTTCACAGTAATTATAAATTTTAATTTCTCACAATACCTGATGCAAATTTCTTCCTTCAGAAAAACAAACTTTTTTAATATGAGAAATTATTTCTTTAGTCAATATAACCATAAGTAAATTAGATGTGAATATAAATAGTAATTTAAGTTTTTATTGCAGAAGATTTTATTCTTGTAGTGTTCCCTTCAACATGTAGAAAACTGGTAGTGTGTTGTCTGCACCCGTTTTGAGAGAAGCCATCAAATAGGTGCTATTACAAGCTTAATTTGCTTCATTCCACTACCTTCAAGCTCAACTTTTTTTTTTCTAGACATTAACAGACTGTCTCCTTAAGCAATCATGTTATACTAGCTTTTTAATGAAGTCTCTAACATAAAGCGATCAGAAAGTGTAACAAGTAGCTTGGTCATAAAACTATTACATTACAATGAAATAGGATAAATATATACATGAGGAGAAACAGAATAATTATTATTGACAGTAACAAAATACTTTTATCACTTATCAGAAACAAACTGATATGGCTATTTAAGACAAGTGTTTTAAATATTTTCATTCTAAGAATATGAAAACAATAAATGATATTCTGAAAGGAGAAGCCCTTAGTCACAATTTTTATTATTTATTTTCAGGTAAAAATATAAATTCACTATCTTCATTTAAAAAATTTTAGGAGAGTTCAAGCACTCCTTCTAGACACTATTAGTAACATTTAGACTATGTTGCCAGTTATCTTTCTTCTAAATAGGATGATGTAAAAGACTGCTTACAAATAATTCCTTAGAACATACTTTACATATTCACCTCCCACCTGAGAACTGTGTTTTTCATTAATTATAATCAGTTATGTTAGAGATGTTTGAAAATAAAAATTAAGTATATCAACTTCTTTACTTTTTGTAATCACTTTTAAATTTATTTTACCTCTTGAATATTTTTTAGCAGACAATGAAATTGTTACTGCTGCTGAATTATTTAACAACTGTTTATGACAGTATTGATCATGTTAATTTCTACAGCTGATAATACAGACATAAGAAATCTACATCCAAATTTTGATCCAGATACTTGTTTTGAATATTCCTTGAAGTTTCAAATAGTCTACAGGTTGGAAAGGATAATAGAAGATAGACAAGACTCTAATCGATGAAACTAGAAAAAAAAATTACAACTTCCAAAATACATAAACTCCAAGCAACTTATTAATGCCCTCCAGAGTAACGTTCTTTATTTCATATAGAAATTTAGAAGTCTTCTTTTTGGATTTACAACTAAGTTTGAGTGAACTACTCATCTATATCAGGTAAGCAAATAGAATAAAAATTAACACTTGATAGAAATGACCTACATATTCAATGAAAGTTGCAGTAGTTGAAAAGGCAAAAAGAAAGCTGACTATATGAGAGAGTATAATTACAGCATATATACCTCCTATGGAGAATATAAATATTCAATATTGAGTCTGCATGATATATACTCTGTGTGGGTAACTACAGATACTCTCAGCCGTACATATTCAATGTAAACAAATAGTAATGATTTACTGAGATTTTGTATGTACTACCAATTATAACCACAGGGGAAATTATTAAGAAATTTTGCATTGTAGGACATTTTTCAAAATTATTTTAGCTACTAATATTTCCAAATATGCTGTCTATACTGACAACTCTATTGATTATCACTTGGCTTATCTAATTAGGCAGTTAGAAAAGCATGCCTTTGGGTGATAAAAAATGAAATTCTCACTAGGAGGAAAAAAAAATGTTAAAGAGATTTGGGTATCAGAATAGCAAATGGAACAGTTTAGTTTAAAAAGAGATAATTGAAAAGATACAAATAAAGTTCACAGCAGGAAAGCTTGCCTATATAAAGGAATAGACTTCAGCCTGTTAATATGTAACTACCTTTTTATAAGAACAGTCAGGTTAACAGACTTACAAATCAGACTCAGAGTTTTATTTTTGAAAAGTATAGCGTTAAAGTATACTATCATTTCAGTGCTGCTCTGTACATACTAGAAAACTCACTGTAGTATTAAGCGATAGTATGTTACAATATAAACAACTTCAATATCTACATATGAAACAGGCTATGTTTACCCAAAAAAGCTAACTATTCTAAAGAGTTAATATACAGAACTTTGGGTAAAAAATCACCCAAAACTGTTAAGAAAGCTCAACCATTCACTGGAATTATGTAGTGAAGATGCATCTTAAGTTTAAAAAAAAAGAAGAGGAAATGAAAGAAAGAAGACAGTATTAAAGTGTATGTACTGGCTATTTTATTTTCTTCCCTGATCTGATGTTGGTTTCTCTAATATATGACCACATTCGAGCATTATTTTATTCTCAATACCCTTCTTCCCTTCCACTGCTTCACTTCTAGAATGTTTTAATCTTTGTCCTTTCTTTTTTCGTCTTTTCATATCAAATTCAGTCTTTTGAGCGATGAACAGCTTGACTTAGCATATTTTTAACCAGCTGGTCTAGCACCTAGCTTGCATTGCATAGTCAGATACAACAAATGTTTATACAGAAGGTAGCTTTCATGAAAATGAAAAAAAAAAAAAAGCCTGGGTATCATGCATCCTGGCTTTTTTTAGCTTTTTTTCTAATTCACCATACAGAATACAAAGTTTGAATTCTTTTTAATGGCAAACAAAATTCTATTTATAGTTCCAAAAAATGAACTTATGCTGGGATAAGAACTCAAATTTAAAAATTGCAATGTGTAGTTAGAGGAACATGAAGAGGGCTAAAATTCTTTCAAAGCCCTCTTTACTTGCAACATCAAATGGAAGGGTATTAGCACATATTTCTCTAATAAGAAATATTAATAACAAATAAACTTATTCCCATCAGAGCAAGATAGAAAATAAAAGAAATCAAAATTTAACTTAAGACAGTACAAAAAGTGGCCACAAAACTTAGAAAGGGATCATCCCCATTTCTCTTTCTTTTTTTTGACATTTCAAGAGTAATGTACTAATAGATTACTGTGATGTTACATTTTCTTTAAAAAAAAAAAATCCGCTCTCTTATATCAACAAAAGGTCATGTGCTTTACTGAGCAGCTTCCAAAGTTTTACAGAAGGATCAAATAGGAACTTATAGCGTCCGTTTTAATCACCACCAAAGCCCTCTGTCACCCCAGAAATTACGACACAGAAATGTTGAAAATTGTAACATTCTTCACAAAAGCATTTTTAAAAGGTGTGGAAGGGGAGAAGAATATCAATGAAGGAAGAGAGAAGAGAGTGAATGAGAAAGAGAAAAGCAGAGAGTGGGAGAAAGAGAGAGATGCTTAATGTTCATTTAATTTCCTGTTATAGGACACAACCTAGAAACATTAGCAGAGATCTCGGAGACTTTGCAAATCAGTTCCATTTGGTCTGGGCAATCACAACAAAAATCAGCTAACAAGACTGCAGAAGCACTCGCTAAAAGCTTCTCTAACAAACACGTTTTAGGCGAGCATCTTCCAATGGATTCAGAGACTACTGTAAAATGGGAGAGTTGCACTTCAATATATCAGAGGGGGAAAACTGTACTCACCTTTCAAACTCCTGAGGTAAATCAGGGTCAGTAAGCATGCTGGAAAAGCACAATTTCCCTTTGTCACAGCAGCCACCTATGATCGTCTCCAACTGAACCTGTCAAGTGAGTCCAAACCTTCTAAACCAATTGATTTTCTCTCTCTCTCTCTCTCTCTCTCTCTCTCTCTCTCTCTCTCTCAATCTCTCCCCCCCTCTCCCCCTCTCCCCCCTCCCACTCCTAGGACTCCTTGACCAGTCTCTTAAAGGGGTAGCGCACTTCCAGCAGCGGGGTCTGGCCGCTCCCCCCTCCTCCAGCCGCACGCTCGGGCTGCAAGGCACTAGACAACCTCAGGGAGCCTGTCCTTTCCTTTTAATTCTCCCTTCCAGACACCACCGAATGTGAGAAGTCAACTCATTTAATGTGTCTCCCATACTCTCTCCTCTAAATAATAAAAGTCGCACACGCATGCACACACACACACAGAAAATATGATTTTTGAAAATGCATTTGCTACTGATTAAAGGAGAAATCTGTGCACGAACCCAACCCCGATTCAACTGCATTGATTAACTCATTGAGCAAAAAGATTAAATGTTAGTAACAGCATTTTTACACAAAGAATTTATGCCTTCTCACCCCTTTCTAGGCTCTCTCGTGCGCACACGGAAACACACACACACACACACACATACACACACACACTTGCACACAACAATCAGGCATTGTTCTGAGGGAAGAAAAGCAACTTTGACAGATTGAAATATAGCAGAGGCCCCTTCAAGGAAACCTGTAAACAACTTGTCACTCACTCTGTCGGTCTCACTGTTAGCTCGCGCTTTCCACAAAGTGGTGCGAACGTCCTGGCAACCCAACCAAAGTTTCCTCAGCTCCAAACTCCATAAAACACGATGTGCGAGGTGGAGGGGACGAGGTGTCCACGTGCCAAAATCACACTCACTCCAGGGAACAGAACCCCACACCAAACCAACAGACAAAAACAAAAAGATGGTCCTTACAAACTGTCCTGCTTGGGATGGCTGGGGAAGTCGGGCAGGAAGCGCTCCCCTGACTGGGGATCTCTTTAATTTCCTCTGCCCAGGCAGCCACAGATAACAAGGTGGACAAACTAGGGCTCTGCGGCTCCTAAGCTGGCTGGCAAGGCACAGCCTCCATAGCAGTTCCAATTATCTAGATAAAAATCTGGCAGGCGAGGAAGGTAATCAGGTAATGTACCTTTGACATGAAATGACAGAAGCACACAGAGAGAGACTTACACAGACACGCATGCAGAGATGGTAGCTGCCCCGTGCACCGCAGCATCTGGTCAGGGAGTGAGCACACACTCACCAACACGAGATAGTGTGCATTCTTCACACACACACACACACACACACACACACACTCAGTCACTCACACACGCTCTCCACTCCTACTGGGAGGGTTCATTCGGCACAAAAGGCTACATTACAGAGCCCGCCCCAATAAGGGAAAGAGAGAAAAAAAAGCCTTCCATTGTTGAGAGGGCAGGTCAGTTGATTAGATTTTCTGTGGAGAATTCCACGAGGAAATTCCCTTCAAAGCCGAAGTGATTAACTGGGGGCTATTCTGGAAATGGAGCAGACAATGGCTCAATAGTCTGCACAGCCAATGTCCAGGCTGGCACTGAACTCACTTTAAAAAAAAAAAATAAAAGCCAGACTCCCTGTTCTTTTCCACACATTCCCCCCCAACCCCCTCCACTCCTTCCAGCTTCCCCTCCCAATCCCTTTTATTTTGCAGCTGGACAACATTAAGGGCCTTTAAAACCACAAGGGTTGACCCCACAGCAGTTTGATTAGGTCCCACTTTTTTTTCCTGGCGACAGTCAGACAGTAAGTTTACTTTTTTAGACATACACAGCGAGACAGCACACACAAATTCCAAAGAGCAAAATCAATTATTAACCTTATCATATTAATCAATTTATTTTTCACTCAAAGGTTATAAAATTTTTGCCAAAGTTGATAATAACTTAATAATCAGGTCCATCATTCACGGGCTATCCTAAAAATACACATATATACACTACAGAATCAATGTGGAATAAGATTTAGGCATGTCACTATGGAGTTAAGACACTAACAAAACACAGAATTACGACCCACCCTGAAAAAGCTGTTAACAAGGGATGTGGCAAAAATGACTGGATGCTGACATGATTTTCATTTTCAGCAGTTGGGGAAGGGGAAGGGATATTACTCACTATACTTTCTTGTCATTAGCCTCAAATTATTCTTTATTACAGCAACAACCCATTCCTACAGAGAAAAATGAGAAAGTTGTTGCATTTATTTTAAATATCTATTATTTCAGCACTTAAGGGCCCTACAATCTAATACAGTCTAATTGATAAAGTATACAAAAATAATTTTTCTATTGTTAATGGTGGTTATGGGATTTAGGAAACGGTAGCTGCCTGGCTACATACACTTTAAAAAAAGAGTTTTTCTTAAAGTCTTAATTAGGGAATCTTGGTTCATCCTGTATCAGCAGAGAAAAATGGAGGCGAGGGACAAGGGGCAGTGGGGAGCTGCAGTCAGGAGAGGAGGAGGCGGTGAGGAGAGGGTGCAGGGGGAACACTGGAAGGAGGCACAGAGGCAGCATAAAGATAGAAACAAAGGTAACGGCCAGAAGGCAGGGTGCTGAGATCCGTATGGTCCCAGCTGCTGTCTTGCTACAGCTTCTACCTCTGGTTGTTTCTCTAAAACTCTGATTCAGAAGGTCACCAGAGCAGGTAAGAAAGAGAGCATGAGTGTTTGAGGCCAACTGCAGTGTAAAGGAAAGATGCTCATATCAGAATCACCCTTATCTTCGGCTTTGTTTTTATAGACATTTAATATGTGCATGTGTAAGTTCATACATGCCAAATAAACCAAAAAGGACATATAGGAAACTGTTAAATGGTTTGTAAGTTAGTTTAAGATCCTAATATTTTATATAAACATTCCTGTAGCCCTTCAAAAATACAAACTATTTCTTGGAAAATTATCCTTAAATGGCATGAAACAGACTAGGAACTAGATAGAAAATTTGTCAGATATAATAATGAATATCCTAATAATGATGATTTGAACTAATGGACCTCCAAGCTCATAAAGAATTCTGTTCACATAGACTAACTCACAGATCATATGCAGCATAGAAAAGTGTATGGGTATGTATATTCCTAATAAGTTTCCCAGTGTTTAAACTTGGGCAAAAGGAATTTAAAGTCTTACAACTGGTTAGTGGCCCATTTGTTTCTTGAAGCCAGGTCTTAGTTCACATCTGATACCATAATACATAATAAAATAACACTCCAGAATTTATAGCTCAATGAAAATCCCAAGATGGTACCTGGGATTTTTTAAGTGATTTAAAAGGCTTTTACATAATTGTTAATGAATTTAAATTTGATATAATCTCATTGTCACTAAATTAGTACTGCATTTGATGGATGAATGAAATAGTTTTAAATGTACCTCTATAGGGTGCAAAAGTTTTCTTTCATTTGAATTTACCTTGCAAATTAATATCTTTTGCAAGATTTTAGAAGTCAGCAAAAGGGAAGGCAGTTTCAAAATATTCTCTCAAATCCTGTCATTGATACTTTTATTAAATAACTGAACTGATCCAAGCAACCTGATGCTTAATAGTAAATTGTTACTAAAAATCTTTTTATTATACATTAAATGTTGAAATGTTGAAATATTAAACATGTGCTAGTAACTAGCACATATGTGTTAAATAAATCTATATTATTTATCAATTACCTGAACAGTTCAAGATATTCAATTGGTTATCTATCTGGTATTTTGTACATTAGAATTAATGTCTACCTCAATGTGATTTTGCTATACTATTATAGGTAGATCTCCAGGAAGTTTCATAATGTATGTAGACTGGGATATATTTTATCATTCACTGAACATTTATTAAGTGCTTAACAGTATGTTACAGCCTGTGGCCTTAAAAGTAGAATCAAGAAAATTTTCCAATAAATTTAATTTTAAAAATATATATAAGCAAAATTCAGAGTAATTGTTTCATATGCAGTCTCCCCAGGGTAAATATGGTAAGCAAAGTTAAAACCAAAAACAAGTGAAAGAAAAGCAATGACAAGAACTTACTGAACAATAATTAAATTGGTGGGAAATACAAAATGATCTACAAACACAGATACGAATATAAATACATCTTCAGAGGAAACCAAAGCACAAACTACAACAGAAAGCCCATAAAACATTTAATGAGTCTCTTTGACATAGCTGTAGCAGTATTATGGAAAATGGGATGAAGCTGAAAAAAGTGTGCTTTTGAGCTTATGTTGTTTCCATTGTAGATATAAAAATGATACTCACATAAGCTGGGAAAAAATAAGATATGCTAGTGAATACTGCTGGAGAATTCTCAAAGAGAATATCAGAATCTTTTACAATGATAAACAAGTTATTTCCAAATTTAAGCTCTTTCAGCCACTGTTTAAGGCCAGTTTTTTCTAATATTTCTCATTTTAAAAGGAAGAAAATCCATTCCCCTATTTTAAAACAGAATTGTTGAACAGCTTTTAATAACTAAAATATGTAGTCACAGGTACAGATAGCATCTTAATATTTGATATATGTTCCTATTATCAGTTTATGGAATTTGTAAGGTTATTTTTGAGAAATGAAACTTTTAATATTATAACTACAATGAATTTAATACCAGTGTCAGACAATACCAATATCATATTGCCTTAACCTGCCTCAATAGACATTAAGAAAATATTCACTTATTTTTTCCCCTAGAATTACTTAACTTTGTCACAAAATGTTTTATTTTTTTTTTTTTCATATTTTAAAAGAAAAAAGAAAAAAAAGGAACTTCCAAACAATGTACATCTGTGAGCCATTCACCAAACCAAATACCTGGTGAGCTCACCACTGGTCAATCAGGGCAGACTAAAACTCTGACTTAGAGTAGAATAAAGTCCCAGAATTGAATTTCTTTAGAAACACACCTAAGAAATTCAGTAACATCTCTTCCTTTTTAAAGTCCTAAATTTTAATTCCCCATAACACATTTATGCAAGAAAATTGACATACAATGATCTATAAGTT